TATGCCAAGGTCCACTTACCGTCCCGTGTACGGCGCGTCATCGACTCTATATAATTCGGAATGTTCTCGAACTCATACCTCGCGTGCCTCGCCGTCTCCGTCAGGTTGTGGCTCTCCACGGCCGAGAGGAGACGCAGCTGCTCCGAGAAGGAGAACTGCGAGGCGGGAGCGTTAGCGTCGTCGTTGTAATCATCAGCATTAATAGCGATGCTTTTGTTTTAGGATTATTACTATCGTTATCATTATTATGACCATCTTCAACATCGTTTCGAAGCATTAGTACTGGTAATAGCACTACCAGAGTTATAATATTACAGTAATTATTATAACTATTTCTCAGTTACACAAGAGCTCCCTCGGAGTGCTCTCTCGTATTAAATGCGCCAATGCCACCCTAGGAACCGAGAACAAAAAATCGCGGAACTCACGCTATCGAAGCGAGCGTCCAGGTCAAGGCCTCGGTAGTCCAGGGAGTTGCACAGATCCGCGTCCTCGGGCGTGCAACGTGCAACAAACCTCTGTATATCTCCCGCTAGCTCGACAAGGCGGCCTCTTAGCTGCAAAGAAGAAGAGGGGAGTGAGAAATGTCAAAAGAGAAGGATTAGCGATGGGATGTTTTTTTTCCCTATTCCCCTTTTTCTTCTTTCATGTTGTTCGGAAATATTCTCGAGGGAGAATTTCTGTTCTTTCGTTCCTTCTGAATGAATTTCTGTTACACAATTTTCGGACAAAATATATGACAAATGAATATATTACATGTACTTTCGATCAAAGGGGTTCGCGACCTCCTGACTACTTTGCTGTGTGTGTGTGTATTTGTGTGTGTATGTGAGAGAGAGAGAGAGAGGGGGGGGGGAGAGTTGGTAATATTGTGTGTAGGAGGAGTTAAGGAGTATGCTAAACAATGGTCATAACACAATACTATCAACTCTTAAGCGGATACCCATTTTATGTCACTTATCCTCCACACCGTTTACGTGCTGACTTGAGGAAGAAAGAAAGAAAGAAAAAAGGTCGAGAGCTCCTCCAATGGGTCGTCGTAGACATCAAACTTTCATAAGTATACATGTACGTTTCGAGCATGTACACCGTATACACGTACATATTAATCTCTAAATCTCACCTCTTCTGCCCGAGCCGCCGCCTGCGACCTTGCTTCTTCCAGCGACCGCATGCGACCGGCGATGCTGCGTAAACCTACAAGAGATAAAACAAAATGAGGTAATTTCATTTGCCTTAGATTTTTTTTTCTATTCCTGATTGCATGTATGTATGTGCGTGTTTGTGTTCGTGCGTGTGTGTTTGTTTGTGTGTGTTTGTGTGCGCGTGTGTGTGTGTGTATAAATGTGCGTGTTGTGTGTGTGCATTCAAACACTGGATTTGACAACATAGATATGGATGAAAAATGCATTTGGTATTATTGTTTTCTATAAATTTATTACTTTCTCCATTCCCTTAATTTCTGCTGTTTTGAATTTCTTCCTTTTATACGTCATTTCATTTGTTCTGCGATATTTTCTTTACCAAATATTTGTTCTATGCTATTTCAATTGTTACTTTTTATTTCACTTGTATTACGTCATCTCCATTGTTATTTCCTTTGGTCTTTGTTATTCCCTTTCGTATTCTATTGGGTCCCTGAAATTTACATGCTTCCTTGCTCTTTCACAGGCGAGGCCACTTAAGAATTCCTGCCTGGATTGCTTGGTCTCTGAGAACATTCGTAGAACACGTGCTTGAGAACTGGTCTTTCCATGAACTCACAATTGTCTTTTTTTTCTCATATCGTTACTTTCTTTCTTTATCCTCCATTTCCTCTTCCTCCTCCTAAAAATCCTCCTCATCATTATCATCATCATCATCTTTCTCATCTTCATCATTATCTCCTTCATCTTTCTCCTCCTCCTCTTTTTTTAAATCTCTCCTTGCCCTCCTATTCCTTTTTTCTTCTTCCATTTTCCTTTCTTTTTCCCAATTTATGAATAATATGCTAAACTTCGAGCTTCAGATGAAACGACGGAGTAGGAAATATCTCCCCAATAGACATCAGAGCTGCCGTCAGAATCACTTCCCAGCGACGGCTAATATTGGGGAGAAAAGTTTAATAACATGCGACTGTTGTTTGTATAACGGGGTTCAGAGAGAAAGGGTTTGGAAGGCAAGAGGTAGGGAGGGGAAGGGAGGGAGAGAAAGAGAGGAGGGATTGGGAGAGGGAGAGAGAGAGAGGAGGGGAGGGAGGGAGAGGAGAGAAGAGAGAGAGAGAGAGAGAGAGAGAGAGAGAGAGAGAGGAAGAGAGAGAGAGAGAGGAGAGAAGAGGGGGCGGGGAGGAGGAGGGAAAAGAGAGAGAGAGAGAGAGAGAGAGGAAGTGAGACAGAGGGAGGGAAGGAGAAAGATAAATAGATATAGATAGATAGATAGAGAGAGAGAGAGCCAAGGAAACTAACATGCATACAGACAACAGACAAGCAGACATACTGACAGACAGAAAGACGGAAATACATATAAACAGACAGACAAAGAGACAGATAGACAGACAGACAGAAAAAAGTCACACAGACAAACAGACAGAGAAAAAGAGAGAGAGGGGAGCTAGGAAGGGAAAGACTTTCGCACAATTATGGTTTTATTATGTATTTTATCTGGAGTTTTTATTGCTACTAAGGACATATTTCACCGAATATTATCGACAAAACTAGTTATGATCACATGAATATTTTGAGGCAAAAATAGTCCAGATTAAGTGAGCTATAGCCAAGTAGACTGTCCATACAAAAAGATACCCACTGCTGCTTATGTGCAGGAGGGAGTCCAGAGCCACCTCGATCTGCGCCTCCGCTGCCAACTCCCTCTGAAGCGGCCTCCCCAGCAGGTACTCCACGTCTGAAATATTATGCCATTGTAAGAAGCTGTGTTTTATTTCCCTTATCACTTGGTATTTCTTTTAGTCTGTTATTTCGTAATATAATATAGACTATTGTATAATGGTTTCACCCTGTATAACCTGTAAAAAAAATAGATGGGTATTGTGGGTTGATGAGATTTGAATAATTACATTATAACACAAGAGGAATATTTACATACACTGAGAATGAGCTAGCTAGTCAGATATCATTTACAAATGTTATGGTAATATCTACTGTAATTACCTATGCCGCACCGTAATATGAATCTATTTTGATAACTAGCACAGATGTATCTCTCCATTATCTCAACAAGATCTCGTCACATTAAAAAATCTACAGGAAACTATCCATTCATGGCAATACACGTTTTGCACCATACTACCCTTTCGCTGAGAACCCTTTCACCTGATTCCCCTCTCTAAGGCCCGTACTTTTAAAACCTTCACCAGTGCTGGCGTTCGCCTGGCGAAGCTACGCCAGGCGAACCTCTGAGGCTCGTACTTTTAAAACCTTTCGCCAGTGCTGGCGAAAGGTTTCACCGGGCGAAACGGAATTTCGTACTATTAAAATCATGTCTGGCGAACGTTCGCCAGGGCTGGCGAAAGATCATATTGGAACAGCCTGGCGAAGCAAAGGCGAGAGCTGTTTGAATACCATTTTCTTGCTTCCAAATTATAATTAGTAACATATTTGAGTATGATATAATGTAGGAATCACATTGAAATTCTAAAATATCTTAAAATCATAATAAATTATGAAATAACGTATATACGTATTTTATTCAAGACCTTCGATGTTCCTGTCGAGAGCTTAAGACATCAGCTGTATTTCTACCCCCTACCCTACCCCCACCCCCGAGATGACTTATTTAGATTTAGGTTGTTGTTTTTTTGGTTGTAAGGATAATGTTCTTTTCACAAACGTTACCAGAAGTGTTTTGATGTTGGCATGTTTACTTCTGGCTATAGAAACATAGCTGTAGTGCTCCACCGCCCTGTAATGAGGCGTGTCTAATGATACCCTTGTAGGCCTACAGTTCAATATCTCATATCAGTTAGGAATAGTAAAATAGTAATTTTTAAACTCTTTTGTTAAAGTATAAAGTTATTTTTTGTATAAAAGTATAAAGTTGATATACTAGAGTATAAAGTACTTTTAAAACCTTTCGCCAATGATGGCGTTCGCCTGGCGAAGCTTCGCCAGGCGAACATCTGAGTGAGGGAGGCCTTACTTTTAAAACCAAGGCAGGTGTTCGCCAGGCCTGGCGAACGAAAGGGATCGCCAGGCGCTAACATCTTGGATTCCTGCTTAATCTAGCGCTTCGGCGAATGAAAAAAAAAAAAAACGCGAGAAACACAAATTTGTTACATCTGCAGTGTTATATAAGCTTATAAGTAAATATATATAGTTGGCACATAGCAGGGATTTTTTTTTTTATTATATTACCTTACCGTACCTTACTTATATCATATATTACTTTACCTAACATAATCTAAGCTTAATTATTAACCTCGGGAGAAGACGATAATATTATATCCGTAATAGCCTCACTTTATACAAAGGAGTTAAAAATTAATAATTTTACTATACCTAACCGATATAAAATAGTTAACTGTTGGGTTACAAGGGTTAGTTTGGTTAGACACGCCTCATTATAGAGCGGTGGAGCACTACAGCCATATTTCTATAGCCCGTAGTAAACATGCCATCGTCAAAACACTTTTGGTAACATTTGTGAAAGGAAAATTATCCTTACAACCCAAATAACATCAACCTAAATCTAAATAAGTCATCTCAGGGGTGGGGTGGGGGTAGGGGTAGGGGGGTAGGAATACAGCTGATTCTTGAGCTCGACTGGAATATCGAAGGTCTTGAAAAACTACGCATATACGTTATTTCATAATAAATTATGATTTTAAGATATTTTAGAATTACAATGTGATTCCTACATCATATCATACATAAATATGTTACTAGTTTATAATTTGAAAGCAAGAAAATGGTATTTAAACACGGGAAAGGGAGGGCTCTCGCGGCTTTGCTTCGCCAGGCTGTTCCAATACGATCGTTCGCCAGCCCTGGCGAAAGTTCGCCTGGCGAACTTTTAATGGTACGAAATTCCCGATCGCCCGGCGAAACCTTTCGCCAGAACTTGCAAAAGGCTTTAAAAGTACGGGCCATAAAGTTAACCTTGTTACAGTATAAAGTGTAGTATAGCATGAAATATAAAGTTGATTTTGTTATAGTATAAAGTTATTTTCAACTTCTTTGTTATAGCATAAAGTTAAATCTTAACTCATTTGTTTTAGTATAAAGTGAGACTATTGCGGAAACATTTTCGTCTTCTCTCGAGGTTAATAATTAAGTTTAGGTTATGTTATGTGCGCTGCAGATGTAAACAAATTTGCGCTATATTTAGCAGGAATGCAAGATGTTAGCGCCTGGCGATCCCTTCGCCAGACGTTGGGTTTAAAAGTAAGGCCTCCCTCACTCAGGCCCGTACTTGTAAAACCTTCGCCAGTGCTGGCGTTCGCCTGGCGAACCTCTAAGTGAGGGAGGCCTTACTTTTAAACCCAACGTTCGCCAGGGCAGGTGAAGGGATCGCCAGGCGCTAAACATCTTGCATTACCGCTAAATCTAGCGCAAATTTGTTTACATCTGCAGCGCACATAACATAACCTAAAATTAATTATCAACCTCGTACTTTTAAAGCCTTTTGCAAGTTCTGGCGAAAGGTTTCGCCGGGCGATCGGGAATTTCGTACCATTAAAAGTTCGCCAGGCGAACTTTCGCCAGGGCTGGCGAACGATCGTATTGGAACAGCCTGGCGAAGCAAAGCCGCGAGAGCCCTCCCTTTCCCGTGTTTAAATACCATTTTCTTGCTTTCAAATTATAAACTAGTAACATATTTACGTATGATATGATATAGGAATCACATTGTAATTCTAAAATACCTTAAAATCATAATTTATTATGAAATAACGTATATACGTAGTTTTTTCAAGACCTTCGATATTCCAGTCGAGCTCAAGACATCAGCTGTATTCCTACCCCCCTACCCCCACCCCTCACCCCCGAGATGACTTATTTAGATTTAGGTTGTTGTTATTTTGGTTGTAAGGATAATTTTCCTTTCACAAATGTTACCAAAAGTGTTTTGACGATGGCATGTTTACTACGGGCTATAGAAATATGGCTGTAGTGCTCCACCGCTCTATAATGAGGCGTGTCTAACCAAACTAACCCTTGTAACCCAACAGTTAACTATTTTATATCGGTTAGGTATAGTAAAATTATTAATTTTTAACTCCTTTGTATAAAGTGAGGCTATTACGGATATAATATTATCGTCTTCTTCCGAGGTTAATAATTAAGCTTAGATTATGTTAGGTAAAGTAATATATGATATAAGTAAGGTACGGTAAGGTAATATAATATAAAAAAAATCCCTGCTATGTGCCAACTATATATATTTACTTATAAGCTTATATAACACACTGCAGATGTAACAAATTTGTGTTTCTCGCGTTTTTTTTTTTTTTTTTTTTCATTCGCCGAAGCGCTAGATTAAGCAGGAATCCAAGATGTTAGCGCCTGGCGATCCCTTTCATTCGCCAGGCCTGGCGAACACCTGCCTTAGGTTTAAAAGTAAGCACTCCCTCACTCATTGGCGAAAGGTTTTAAAAGTACTTTATACTCTAGTATATCAACTTTATACTTTTATACAAAAAATAACTTTATACTTTAACAAAAGAGTTTAAAAATTACTATTTTACTATTCCTAACTGATATGAGATATTGAACTGTAGGCCTACAAGGGTATCATTAAAGACGCCTCATTACAGGGCGGTGGAGCAGTACAGCTGTTTCTATAGCCAGAAGTAAACATGCCAACATCAAGACACTTCTGGTAACGTTTGTGAAAAGAACATTATCCTTACAACCAAAATAACAACAACCTAAATCTAAATAAGTCATCTCGGGGGTGGGGGTAGGGGTAGGGGGGTAGAAATACAGCTGATGTCTTGAGCTCTCGACAGGAACATCGAAGGTCTTGAATAAAATACGTATATACGTTATTTCATAATTTATTATGATTTTAAGATATTTTAGAATTTCAATGTGATTCCTACATTATATCATACTCAAATATGTTACTAATTATAATTTGAAAGCAAGAAAATGGTATTCAAACAGCTCTCTCGCCTCTGCTTCGCCAGGCTGTTCCAATATGATCGTTCGCCAGCCCTGGCGAACGTTCGCCAGACATGATTTTAATAGTACGAAATTCCGGATCGCCCGGCGAAACCTTTCGCCAGCACTGGCGAAAGGTTTTGAAAGTACGGGCCTAAGGCTTATCGCCACCTGACCTCCAATGCCCTACCGTCAAGGTCACCATAGATCGCGTCGACCGTTTGTTCTAAGGAGTTGCTGACGAGGAACCGGAGCTGCATCTTGGTGTTCCTCAAGAAGGTGTCGAGATCTTGGACGTTGTTCTGCACGCTCGCCCTCGCCTCCGAGACGGCGCTGCTGAGGCGCTCGTTGCTCACGACGGCCACCACCACGCCCAGCCTGCGGAGGAGGGCGGGGTGACGGTCGGAAGAAGATTTGGGTTCTCTTTTTATTATGTGATTAGAATTTCCTGTATTTGTGTGTGATGTTTCCATATTTGTAAGAATCCGCTGTATGGGCATAGCAAAAATAATTATGATCATGGATATCATATGGAAACATAACGAAATGGTAAAATATCTTGTCATTTTAGTATAAAAAATACTTTAGCAAATGCAGTACTGTACAGAGAATCTGCTGATTATACATAAGACATATCCTGTTCATTATCATTCGTTAATCTTATCATCATAATAGCTGTAGTTGCTACGTTGTTCTCAGTCACATCGGCAATTGCACTAATTAGAGGGTTACTTTTATTATCATCAACTATTACAGTTATTATTATTTTCATTTCATATGACAAGGAAGATCATTATAATCATCACTATTTTATAATCATTACACTAATTGTTATTATGATAACGATAATATTATCATGATTTATCGTTGTTGTTATTATGATTTCCTGTATCATTTTCATCATTATAGTGGCAGTACGGGTAACTGGCGGGAATTCTGTCAGTAGGACAGTAATATGGTTATTGTTATTATGGTTCGTAGTCAGGCCTAATTCTGTTGATTATCTTTGTTATCACTATAGTTAGAATCATTATTGTTGTTTTTATTATCGAACTTTGATCATCACTATTATCCGATGTGCAAAATTGATAGTAGTAGTGGCAGCTCTCATATTTTAATTTAGTAGTTTTAAACATTTAAGATTAAAAATGAGGCGTCTTGGATTTTTTTAGATTATGTATATCAGAGAGGAGAACACCCTACGACACTTATAATTAAATCCCTAAATGAATAAAGATGCATACAGCTAAAGATGCATACATACAGATACATATACATACATACATACGTACATACATACATACATACATACATACATACATACATACATACATACATACATACATACATACATACATACATGCATACATACATACATACACACACACATATACATACAGACGAACAAACCGACATAAAAATGAATAAAATAAAGCCAACATCAAACGAGAGGACAGCCACTCACGAGACGAAGAGGGCGCACGTGGCGAGCGACGTGGTGAGGGACCTTCTCTGGCAGTTGAAGCAGTCGTCGTGGTGGTGTTGCGTCTTCTTGCCCCCGCAGCGCCCGCACATCCTACAGCAGCACACTATCATCCCTATGAGAGGCACGCCCGCCGCCAGCGATAAGCCCACGCCCATGAACGCGATGAAACCGGGCTCGGCTTGCAGAGACTGTGGGTTGTGGAGTGGTATAAGCGGTGTGGTTGAGGTCTGAGTTGTCATGATTATAGTGTCAGGATTGTGATGGCAAGAGCATAGGTTATGAGCCCATGAGTGCATAGGAAAATATGAAGGGACGATGATAATAAGAAAAAATAAATAAAAAAAATCATAAGAAAATAAAGAGGCACAATACTAAGAAGAATTAATAAATAAACAATAACAAAACGACATCGCCATCATCTCCACCTCGGATTTCCCGCTGACGAGGTCTCAAGAATACAACGAAACGTGTTATTCTGGTCGTGTGTCATTTCAACTTGAGGGTTTTGAATAAACATTTCTTCTCGATGTGTTAGTGCATATTCATTCTTTTATGAACTATTAACATTGTATCATTATCCTTATCCTTATTATTATCATCATTATTTTAATCACTTGTTGAGCATCCATTCCTGCTGACCGTCCCAGCCCTTGCGAGGGAGATGGTGACGTAAGACTAGATCACTATGTTGTTGTTTTTTATTACCCCCGCCAAGAGGTCATGTTTTTGGTAGTGGTGGTTAGTTTGTCCGTTTGTTTGTTTCGTTGGTTAGCGGGATAATTCAAAAGGTTAAAAACAGATTTTTATGATTATTTTTATCAGAGGTGTGTCTTAGACCAGCTTCGATGCCGTAAAATTTTGGTGGTGATCCGGATTCATTGGCGTTGCGAGATAGGGACGATTTCAACTTTTTTGGAGCAATTAAATTATCATTATTATTATCATTATCAATATAATAATCAATGTAATTCTTCGAGAGTGATCATGCGCTCTCTGAGTGCTTCCAGTTATCATTGTTATTATAATTACTAGTGTTACCATTATTATAATTCTAATCGTTATCATTATTGCTATCATTAATGCCATTGTTGTTGTTATAATTACTTTTATGTAATGCGCTCTCTGAGTGCTTCTACTCATCATTATGATTACTGCTACTATTACCATTATTATCATTATAATAGTTATCATTATTGCTTTTACCATTATTAGCATTATCGTTATTATCATTACTTTTATCATTATTGGTATCATAATTATTACTGTACTATTGTAGCAGTAGAATCATTATTATTATCAATGTTGTTGTTGTTTTTCCTGTTTTTGTAACCGCAATCATTTATATTACTATTAGCATCGTTATCATTATTATCACTATTGTTATTATTATCATCATTATTACTTTTATCATTATTGTCATTATATTGCTTTTATCATTATTGCTATCATTATTATTATCATCATCATAATCGTTATTACTATTAACATTATCATCATTATTACCTTCGCCAAGGAGGTTGTGGTCTTGGCACCTTTGGTTAGTAGTTTGATTAGTTGGTTAGCGAAATAACTCAAAAAGTCATTAACAGATTTGTATGAAAATCTTATCATAAGCGTGTCTCAGACCGGATCAGACCGGATCTAGGAATCATTTAAAGGATTGCATCAGTTCATATTATTTTTATCATTACCTTTATTACTTCCGCCGAGGTCACGCGTACGGACGTCAGAAGCGTACTTGAGAAAGAAGTGATTTTAATGAAATTCTTCAACTGTGAATATTTTTATTGTATCAGTGACCCTACTGCCTTGGCGTCATTGTCATCTTTATTATTACTATTACTTTTATCACTTATAATTGTTGTTATTATTGTTCTCATTGTGATATTTCTATTATCGTTATTGTTATTGTTATTATCATCATTATGTATATCATGTTATCATCATTATCCGTGTCGTCATCGTCATTATCATCCTTTTTATTTCATTATTACTATTATCATTATTATTATCATCATTACCTCCACCCAAGAGGTTATGTTTTTGGTAGCGTTAATTGATTAGTTTGTTTGTTTGTTTGTTAGGTTGTTGGTTAGTTAGCAGGACAACTCAAAAAGTTATAAACAGTTTTTATGTTCCGCCAAAGAGGTGATTTTGATGTAATTCTTCAGGTGCGAATAGTTCTTATAGCATTAGTGGTCCTATTCCCTCAGAGGAAGTATTCGCTGTCTGAGCGCTTCTAACTACCACTACTATTATCATTATTATTTTTTATTATTATTATTATTACTATTATTACTATAATCATTATTATTATTATCATTATTATTATCATTATTATTATTACTATCATTATCATTATTATTATCATTATTATTTTCGTTACTGTTATTATTTCTATTACCATTATGATAGCTATTAGTATTATCATCGCTAATATCATTATAATCATCATTATGTTATCATAACTCTTATCATTGTTATTATTATTGTTGTTCTTGTTATTATCATTATCATTATTATCATTATGATCATTATTGTTATTATGATTATTATTATTACTATTATTATTATTATCATTAGTTATTATTATTATTATTGTTATTATTATTATCACTATTATTACTATTATCATTATCATCAATACTATCATTACTGTTATTATTATTGTTATTATCATTATCATTATCATTACTATTATTATTCAGTTATACTACTATTGATTTTCATTACCATTGTTATCATTATTGTCATCATTAATATCATTGTTATCATTACTATAACTATTATAATTATTCTCGTCATTATTATCATCATTATCATTATTATTACTGAAATCATTATAATCATTCTTGTCAGTATTAGTACTATTATCATTGATATTAATATTACTATGATTACCATTATTATTAATATTACCATTATCATTTTGTTATTGCTATTACTATCATTATGATTGTCATTATTTCCATTACAAAAAATCAGCATAATTACTTTTATTGTAATTACCTTTACAATTACTATCATTACTGTTATCATTATTATCATTATCATTGTCATCATCAGCACCATCGTTATTATTATTAGTGTTATTATCATTGTCATTACTATTGTTATTGTTTTTATTACTATAGTTATTATTCTTATCATCATTGTTATTATTGTTAACATTATTATTATTATCATTATTACTACTCTCATATTACTATTGTTATTATTATTATTACTATTATCATAATTATCATCATCATTGTTATATTATTCATCTAGTAGTAGTAGTAGTAGTATTACTATTCTTATTATCGTCACTATCATTAACATTATTATTATCATTATTATCATTATTATTGTTATTATTATTGTTATCATTACTATTATTATTACTACTACTATTATTATTGTTGTTGTTGTTGTTGCTGTTGTAGTTATTAATGTCATTGTCATTATTACTTTTTATATTATTTCCATTGTTCTTGTTATTATTGATATCATTATTATTAACGTTACTGTTAGTATTATCATCATTATTATTAACGTTACTGTTAGTATTATCATCATTATTATTATCATTGTTATTATAGATATCATTATTGTTATGGGCATTATTATTATAATCATTATCATTATTGTTATTATTATTATTGTAATTTTCATTATTGTTATTACTGTAACTATTAATACCATTATTATCATTCTGATTATCATTATTATCATTATTATTATTATCATTTGTATTACCATTATCATCATCATCATCATTATTATAATCATTATCATTAGTCATTTCTATTACTGTCATTATTACTATTGCTGTCCTATTTATTGTTATTATTGTCATCATTATGATCATCAATACTAGTACAAATATTATTATTATTGTTGTTATCATTACCTTTATTATTACCATTTTTATTATC